CTTGGTCTGGATTGCGGCGCATATTTCAGTAGGTAAAATCCTTAGTGGTACCTCTCTAGTGAAAAAGGGTATGACACGGGTATTGACGAGCGAAAGAGATTGGTGTAGAACCTCTTCCTGATCGATTCTTTTGTCGGGAAGATGTACGAGTTTCGTCTTCGTTTAGTAATGTTGTCAGCGGAACGCGATAGTCGAAAAGGTCCCTGCGGTATTCTTTAGATTCCTCCTTCTGCTGCTTCCAAGAGTTCGATTGCTTCTACTTTCGAAAATTTTCTTGCAAAGCTGTTTTGAAACTGGTATTGGCTACCAGTCGCTCGAGATGTGATGCAATTGGATCCAGCCTCAGGGCTCTCTCCTCTCTAGCAGATTCTTCTTGACTTTCGAAGTTCGTTCCAAGCTCCTTGTGTGAGGCATTGAGGCACTTTCACCACAGGCACTCAGTCTCTCTAAGAAGCAAGTTGTTCATCAGATTTTTCTCGATGGGCCAGTCACAAGTGATCAGGATCTCCTTCAATCTGACGCCGTCACCACGGTGGCAGATGTTCTTTTCCAGCTTTTGGCTGAATCGCACTTTTGCTTGAAGGAGGCAGTGAACTGAGCCACTACTAAAAGATGGTATCACTGAGACGTCGAGTAAGCACCACCTTCGGTTGGTGAGAATGTGGTCGATCTCTGCATGAGTCTACCTTTGGGTGACTCCCATGTCCACTGCCGGTGTTCTTTCTTCATGAAAATGGAGTTGCCATGAAAAAGTCGTGCGGCGGATCAGAGACCAACAAGACGGTTACCGTTCTCATTCCGGAGTCCTCTTCTTCTGGTATCCCGATTTTCGCCTTGAAGTCACCCACAACGAACTTATAATAGAAGGAGTTTTCTTTGCGGGTGACTTCCTCCAAATCCTACTAAAAAGCCTCAAGTTCCAAGTCATCAGCTGCTGACGTTGGAGAATAGCAGTTAATGATAGTTATGGCTTTCTGGTGCACAGAACGGAGTCGAAGGATAGCCAGGCAAGGTGATAGGATCTCATGCAAATTGACAAGATGAACAACAGATGGGTGTACGACAAATCCAACGCCTTTCACCACGAATAATGAGTGTGCAATCACTCAGCTGCCTCCCGTCCGTCTTCCTGGACTTTGTTTCTTGCAAGGCGATTTCGTGGTAGTTGACGCCCTGCAGCTTTGAAAAGGGCGTAAAGATCGGCGTTAGTGGAGACTGTCCCGGCGTTGTAGTTGGAGAGCATGAAACAATCCCATCACGAATTGTTGACGTATCCGTAGCGTCTTGTGCAATCTGACATTGGTCTTGATGACATCCGACGCTGTAGATGTCAGTGTGCAGGGCTTCTTTTTCTCTTACATCCCGTGCAGGCAATGAGTAAAGGACATCAACATTAGCAGTGCCTCGCCAGGGCCCTGTCAAGCTTTTACCACAGGCAATCGCTGACCTTATGTGGATCAGGGAGCCGCCTACCGACTGAATCAGCCAGACGGTGGTGCTTCTGGCATGGCCAACTCTTAGCTGGGCATCCGG